GCAGGGCAGCGTGCGCGGGGGCGGCGGCGGGCGCGCCTGCTTGTCGGCGCCCGCAGCGGCGTGCTTGCGCGCGTGCGTCGCCAGGTTGCTGGCGGCCGCGAACGTCTTGGGGCAGTGCGCGCACGCGAACGGCCGCTCGCCCGTGTGCGTGCGCGTGTGCGTCGCCAGCTCGCTCTTGCGCGCGAACCGCTTGCCGCACTGCACGCAGCAGAAGGCGCGCGCCTCGCGCGGCGCATGCGTCGACGCGTGCTGGCGCAGGTGGCCCGCCTGCGTGAAGCGCGCGCCGCACGTCGTGCACGCGAACGGCTTCTCGCCCGTGTGCGTGCGCGCGTGGTTGTCGCGCGCGCCGCGGTGCGCGAACGCGCGCCCGCAGTGCGGGCACGGGAACGGGCGGTCGTCGGGCGTGTGCGTGCGCTCGTGCGCCGTCAGGCTGCCCAGCCACGCGAACGTCCTGCGCACACGCACACACACACTCGCGCACGCATTCGCAGTAGCCTAAATACAACGCACTCAAAACTACTCCCCACAGGGTGGCACAAAAACACAATAGTGGTTTATGCAATTACGTTGTTTATAACGTTAAGCTTTATTGCATGAGTACATGTTTTGTAAACGATCAACGTTATACCTGGGTGTTTATTTCTTGGGAGTTTGAGGGCCTGTTTTCACGAAGGAATATCTCACGGGATTTCGCATCTTTCTCGGTTACGCCGCTAGATATCGCACGATTGCCTGCACTGTTCGATCATAGAGTACAAGTATATGGTATCTCTCCTCTACGTGCTCGATCATGCGACATCTAGCAGCACGACCGAGAAAGACGCTAAATCCCAGGAGATATACCATCGTGGAGACAGTCCCTCACGCGCCAAGAAATAAAAACTCAAGACTAGAAGCGAGTTTTTAAATTTGTATGAATGCAATAAAGCAACATTATAAACGAGTTGCATACACCATTTTTTGTATAACAGCATTGTAAATTTAAAAGAGAATCAAACTTAATTTTGCGAAACACCTTTCTTATGACATCGCAGACATTTGATATCTGTGCGAGACAACGCTGCTTGGCTGTTCCGTTTTCCTTTACCTCCCCGCGATTCTCTCGCTGTGATTGGCCGAACGTGTGATGACGCAATCTTTCGTGCCATTAAATTCCCAATTGTGAAAGATTTCTTACAACAGAAAAAGTCGTTTATAATGCTGGTATACAAAAAAGTTATTTATTTACAATCACAAATACTTAAAAACAATGGGGAAAAGTATATTCTGCACACGTTTTCTTGAATTCTGGGATCCCTACCCTAACCCACATACAAGTTGAATTCTGAATAAGAAGGAAATTAGCGTTTTTGGCAAGAACTGATACGAAAATATTCGCTCCGGGGTGATAAAAACTATTTGCAAAGGCAAATCAGCTAGATTTGGACTGTCATCCTTAGAATTCTACTTGAAGGAATCGACTTCATGCAGCGAGAAAATGGAAAACATTTATTGTATATTCCTTGCAGAAGTCAACAAAACGTGAGCAGACAGTTACGCTACATTTACGTTCTCAAGGGGACATTTCAGCATTTGCTCAAGGATCAGGGAAAGTGGATGAAGAAATCTAATCAAGATGAGGGATCACTGATTCAGAAGCTGAGGTACAATACTTGTCATAGTTGTTTAGAATTATTCAGTCTACTTAACACCCTAAGTGCATAAACAACTATTATGTATCTAAGGTTTTAAGTACATGTTTTTGCCCTGAGGGCGACTTCCAAGCCCTCGGAATTGGAAGTTGCTGTCGAGGCAAAACAAAGTAACGCCCGTAGTACACACAAATTATTATATAAGGAAAGTCATTGAGGTGATAAAATATGCAAAATGTCACATACGCATTAAAATTAAAGAAAAACAAGGAAGGGGAGATAAATAAACAAGAAGGAGAACAAACGTAAATAAACGTGAAGGAGTCAACAGTAAAATTGGAGAAGGATGAGAAAAATAAGCAATGAGAGAGAGAGGGGGGAAGAGACAAAATATCAAGAGTGAGGGAGAGACATAACTAAGAGACGAAAACAGAAACAAAAGAGTAAAGGGCAAAGTAAGAACGAGGTTCAAAAAAGGAGACAGTACAAGCGCGCGAGAGAGAAAAGGATGGAAATAGAAGGGTGAAAGAATGAAAGTGATGAGGATGAGAACAAAAAGAACGAGAAAGAAGTTGGGGAAAAGAATAAGAATGAAAGAGACAGAATAATGGAGACAGGAAGGACCGGAGGAAGAAAAACGAATGGCTGAGAAACCATGACGGGAGAAACAACCATGGAATGAGATGGAGGCGTATGCACACGGGACTGAATGTCAGAGTGAATCCGAGAGGGCGTGAGAGAGGAAGGGAAAAAGAGACTGTACTTCAATTTTTATTTCTTGGCGCGAGGGACTGTCTTCAGGATGGTACATCTCACTGCCTTTTGTGCCTTTCTCGGTCGTGCTGCTAGTTGTCGCATGATCGCGACCGAATCGAGCAGTGCTGGCGAGATATCCCATCGCGAAGACAGCCCCCACACGCCAAGAAATTAAAACGCAAGTATAAGGACGTGAATGAGAGGGATAGATGTGAGCCGGAGGGGGGCGTGAGAGAGGGAGAAGAGTGAGAGAGGAAGGGAACGAGTAAGTGAATAACAAAGTAAGAGGGAATCAAGAGTAGGTGTGAGCC